TCTGTTGTGGAAACATTTTGCTCGAGAACAATTCAATATTTGTCATCACACAAAGCAGGGGGGTAGCAGGATACAAAGAAAGTGAGAAGCTCCAGGTAATTATATTAAAATAACTCAAAATTTTGCCGTGTTCAGACTCGAGACTTTTCAGCGAGTTGTTCAGTGCACATTTGTTCGAAATGAACTTATACATGAGAATGTCTGAAATGATGTCTTGCAGCTGTGACCCCACATGAAAAGTTTTCGGTTAGAATAAATATTACAATAGCGCAGCAATTCCTTGTGAGGACACCTTCGGATGTTAGGCAGTCAAGGGTGTCCTACCTAACAGTTACTTACACAAGCATGCGGAGCCCATGCACTCAAACTGATGGCATCACACTACGCATTACTGAATGCGAGCATGAATGAGGTGAGCACCGTACCAGGGTTTAGCTGGAACCGCTGCTCAATTACTGTATCACTGTGTGGCCAGCTGCAAACTTGGACCCACATGCTACGTCGGCACTGAAGTAGTGTGCAGTGAAAAGGCAGTGAAGTCAAATTTGGGGGTTTTACGTGCCAAACCAACGACAGGCATCCGGCACGCCCCAGCGGAGAACTGAGGATTAATTTTGACCACCTGGGGATCTTTGGACAAGCAACCAAAAGCTCTGTGACACGGCGCCACCTCCGCTATGAAGAGGCAGTGGGCAAGCCTCGTCAGTGTGGTGTCGACTTTACTCTGGTAGGCGGTGCAAGTTCATAGAGGATTGCGAGGCACAAACCCCTGGACAGGAAATGAGACGTCTTAACTCAATGAAAACTATGGCAAAAATCTGTGACAACAGCATTTAATGAGCGAGGCTGCACATGGACTACACACTAATAAAAGAGACATTACATAAATAAAAGTGACAATGTTTAGGAAACACCTGGCTGTACATTCAAACAGATTCCTAATATCCATCAAGGGGATCGGTGGTCGACTGCATTAACGGATCACAGCATGGAGCACGTGGAGTGAAAGCTCGCACAGCTGAACATAGGAATCTTGAATTCAATCTCTGCCTCTGCCTGTATCGATGTGGATGAACATTGTAACAGCATGCGGTTGTGTATCACTGCCTTGATTTAAGTTAAAGACTCCAGGATAGCTGTGGTACGACACTGGCTGAATATCTCGTCTACAGTGAAAATAAGTTGCTCACTGGGGCTGACTAACTTCCCGTTGTCTAAACATACAAACATTGTAATTAGTAAGAAAAAAATGCTCGGTTACTTTTCAAGTTTCGAAAGAATAGATTTAAAGCTGACATAACTGCCCTTTTGCATAAAATGTTCACTAGAAATAGCGAATCGAGAAACAAGTTAAAAAAAATGCTAGGCTTTAACGAACAAGATATGGTCAATACTTGTAACAACTTCAGGTCAGGGATAAAAGGAAGCAAGTTACAGACTTTAAAAAAGCATTCTTAAACACAAAAGAGAATGGTAATTACTAAAGAGGAAGATGAAACAAATCGAATAAATCAGCCTACTGTTGTGGCTGGGCCCCGAGAACAAGCAGTTGTTGCAGCGTGATTAGTTTGTTGAGCTCAAGCAGCTCAAGCTCGAACCAGCTTGTTACACTGCTGCTGATGGAAAACCTGGGCCTGCGTCTGTTAATAGGCAACCTGACACTGACGTAGCTCCACCTGCAGCAGGTGCAGCTCCTCCAGTCGGTGCGGCCTTTAGTTGTCTTCACTCGGACAACCACACGTGGCGGCTGAGGAGGTAGAGGAGGTGGGGGCTTGGTTGGTGGTGCAGCAACCGCAACCTCCATGATGCCACCCCAGTCCAGCAGCAGTGAGGCAGGTGAATCTAGGCAAGCACAACACATTGACGCCGAGTGTTAGAGGCACGGTGAAGACACCGGAGAACTGCTAGAAACTGTTACAACAACCCCATTACAGAAATGTTAAATGCCAACTGTTGGTAAACATGAAAGTTTTTCTGCCTTGTTCTGACCCTTTCCTTTCCGTGATACTGTCAGTAGCGGCAGGGCAGACTCCAAATGGTGATACCATCAAAGGAAACAGCGCTGTTATCTCGGACCTTGTTGGCCCTCGGGCACACGTGGTGTATTTGTCAATAAACATGTCATTATCCAGGCCCAAGGAATTTACCGTGTTCCTACGTGACACCCCTAACAAGTCGCATTCATGAAAATGTGGCTCATTGTCACAGTTTTTAGCGTTCCTACGAGACAGTATGCCAAAATCGAAATAATAAACGGAAGAGCATAGACAGATTTTTTTATAAATGAACATTGGAAGCTGTGTGATCAAGTAGCAACCAACCTCCATGGGTACGTAGCAAATGCAATCGAAAACTTTTACCAGGCATCATGCCAGTCGTCATGCTCGTTCACTGTGGCTTCGGGAATGGCGGCTGGCAGCATTGAGAGCACCGGCCAACCAGCGCGGGCGCTGCCACTGCTGTACGGGCTTGGCAGCCGCATTGCCATGTGGAACACCAGTGCCCCCACAAGATGGAGGGACGGGCCCATTGTTCAGCGGGTGCGATACCAGTGCCCCCTCCTGCAATGAAAGGCCAAAGAATATCCTGTGACAGCATCCATGAGTTGAGATGTACAGAGCACAACGCAGAAAGAAAAACAAATCATACAACTTATGCGGTACAATTTGTTTTCGACACTTAACTGCAAGAAATAAATGCGAAACAAGTGATGTCATACCTGTGCTGTTTCTTGATATGCATGGAAAATACTGGAGTAGCTTAATGTGATCATCGACAACAGTCATATTGTAGACACAACTTTTCAAATCAATAATGTATTCTTCCACCCATATTAAATTTGTGCCAGCTTAATCATGCCAGTACAATGCGCTGGTTAACCTAGCAAATAAATGACAATGGTTGCACACTAACATGGACACCCGAAAAAAGGCATCTGTCAACAACTGGACTCCAGCATGTCTCATGTTTACATGATGGCACTTCTTCAGAGGTTAAAATTAAGAAATGAGAGCTAATAGTCAATTAAACCTGCACAAGATTTTTTTTTTCTTCAAAAGATTAGCACACAAGGAGATGAGGTGCTAGGTCCAATTGACATAGTGGAAACTCCTACTTAGCGTAACTTCTACGTGCACTAGTGCCAGTTTCGTGCGTCGCGTTTTTTTTTTTATACGTTTAGGTTGCTTCTCTAATCTCAAGAAAGGGGCCGGAGGCTAAGGTAGTGTGGCGCAACCAGAATGTTCGCAGCGTAATTTTCGCTTGGATATAGCACAACACGCAAAATAAGTTGTCGAAGTCGGCACAAGAATCACCAAAGATAGCGCCAATTCACCGTCACTGCCCACCTACGGCCTCGACAGTAACGTGCTTGACTAGCTGCAGGTGGCCACAGCAAAGTCCCTTCCAGAGTTATTTAGTACACATGTCCTGTCATGTGATTTTGCGAACCCGTTGAGTTATTATGCCCAAATATAAAAATTGCTTACACACCTGTTGCGTGGATGCCCCGATTCTTCTCGAAGTCTGTTTTCTTCCACTTGGGTTTACCGCTGTCCCAACACTCGTGGGCGGACATGCGGCTGGTACTTATACTTGATGCAGACTCTTCTACGCGTCGATTTTAGCTTCTTTCGGGGAGTTGTTAGTAGAACGACGAAGAAGCTCCCCTCCTTCGTGGAACCACTCGCCCCTTCTTGTCACCTTCGTTGAACGACATCGTTGTTGGGCAAGGCACTCTAGTAGGACTCTGAAGAAAGAGGAAGGGTGAAAACGCTCGTTCTTGGCGGTGACAGCGAAGCAGATAAGCGGTGAGACGAGGTGAGACGGCGAAGAACGGCCGAGACGCAGAGACGAACGACGGTAACGAGCTACAGCTGCCTCTACGACGCAAAAGCTGGAGAGCGGCCGCCACCGTTGCCAAACTGGAGAATGCTTGTGGCTGTTTGTCCGAAAACCGGCCGCAACGCATAAAACATGTGCGCTGCGAAGCAGAAATCTTGCAGACTCCCAATTCAATGTTAGTAAAATGTGTCCCTTCAAATAAAATGAACTAATATGTTCATAATTCACACCACAATATTGTTTTTAACTTCGTTTTTTGCTACAACCTCGTAACCAGACGCCTTTCACGTCTCCTCGAGTTTCCTCGAGTGGAGGAAGTGTTCTCGAGGAGCTCCTTAGCCGAGGAAACGCCGAGGCGCGTCTGTGAAGCCCGATGGCTCCTCGAGCGGCGGCGAGCTGCTTTCCTCCACTCCAGTGAGTCGAGGTGGAGTGTCGAGTCGAGGCCCGTTTAAGAATACGGCCGTTAGAGTCAACAAAACGATTAACCGGTGTGTCCGTTTGGGCGTGCTCATAGGCGGTGCCCGGACGTTTGGGAATGAGCTTCTCGGTGTCACCTCGACCTAGGTTCCAGGAGCAAGACCAAATATCAAGCGTCACTGAAGAAAGGGCTGCCACTACAAGCCTTGAGGAACCGGAAGAGCACTTATCCTCTGTGTGTGTTTGTGCGTGCGAGTGGGCGGTGCCTGGCCAGTTGGGGAACGGCGTCCTTGCCTAGGGACGTAGGGAAGGGGGACCTTATAAAAAGAGCGGTTTTACGCGCTCTTTCTGTGTTCTCACGTTGTTCTCATGCCAAACGGCAGACTGTACATAGTATGTAAATAAACAGTTTGAGAAGAGACACCCTGGCTCGCTACCAACTCTGCCCGATGTCCTGGGCGACGCATGGCTCCAGCGGAGATCGACTACATGGACAAGCCCCGAGTCTTTACAACTGGATGGCGGACGGTGGGATCGACAGCTACGACCATTGAGCGGCAGCAACAACGGATCTCATGGGCCTTGAGCCGAGTCTGGTGAGTGACGGCATCTTTTCCCTGTCGCCAGGCCTGTAAGATCGAGGTGTATTTTGCATGGGCGTAAGGAACTACCGAAAAGGCAATTTTAAGGTTGTTGTGTGTCGGTAGTGCAGAGTTTTTCCACCCAGATAGGTCACAGACATGGATCTGCAGCGTTTGCTAAAGTGTCAGTTGCTCGACTTGTGTGAGGAGTTCGGGGTAGACGCGAACACATCGATGAAAAAAACGGAGCTTGTTAAGGCTATCCAGGACGAAAAACTTGACAACGAGGAAATTGAAGAGATGTGGGAAAAAATCAAAACAAAAAAAGGAGACGAAGCGAAATTTAAGGAATTAGAACTAGAAAAACTTCGTCTCGAGGTGGAGCTAAGGAAAGCGAGCGGAGGACGGGAAACGGAGGTAGAGGGCACCCGAAGTCTGTATGACATGACGAAGCTTATTCAGGCTTTCAAGGTGGGACAGGACATGGGCCTCTACCTGGTAAACTTCAAGAGAGCTTGCGAGAGGGCCCGTTTTAACCGGGTCTCTTGGGCCAGAAGGTTGCTGAGTGTTCTGCCATGCGAGGCAGCCGGGGTAATCGCGAGGTTATCCGCGGACGACTCGGACGACTACGACCGCGTGAAGAGCTGCCTGCTCAAGAAGTATCGGTTGTCGGCAGAAGCGTTCAGACAGAAGTTCAGGGGCGTGACGAAAAGGTCGGAGGCCAGTTATGCGGAGTTCGCATACGAACTTCGGTCGTACCTCGTCGAGTGGATGAAGGTCGCCGAGTCGTATGATGACAAAGAGAAAATGCTGGAGACGGTCGCGCTTGAACAGTTCTATAAGACTGTCCCTGAAAGCATGCGAACCTGGATTCAAGATAAGTCAGGAGTAGACTCTGTTTATCGAGCTGCAGACCTTGCGGATGAGTACAGTTCCCGTAGAGGCGGAAAAGAGGGAATGAGGAAAGTCTTTGAGAAGAAAAGCGGAGATGAGCGGAAAAAAGGGGGCTGGAAAAGAACAGAGTCGCGAAAGGAGGAAGACAAGGAGGAGAATATCTCCACGACCTCCCGGGGCAACGGGCCAGACAGTTGGCAAAAAAAGAAACCCTTTGAGGCCAGGAGGCCGATAAGGTGCTTCAATTGCCACGAAACTGGGCACATTGCCGCGGGATGCCAAAAACCCAAAGGTGGTTTTCGCCTTAGCGAGTAAGTGCGAGGAGAATGAGGAGCTCCTGAGTCCGTATCTTTTCGACATGACAGTAAACGGAAAGTTGTGCCGCGTGTTGCGCGACAGTGGGGCTACCATTGACCTAATTCACCCGTCGTACGTTACCGAGACCCATTACAATGGGAAATGTAGCTGGATCAAGTCGGTGCTGGACGAGGGGAGCGTGTGTCTCCCTGTGGCCGATGTTCTGATTTCTGGACCATTCGGAGAGGTGCGTACTGAGGCGACTGTTTCAGACAAACTGCCGCCTACCTATTTTCGAACCGAACAGACAGGATTCTGAAAGAACAGGGCAAGAGCCTCGGGGAGAGACTCGTTCAAGCGCTCACGGGGGCTAAAGCTCCCGAGATTTCAACGCGGCTCAGTTATGACGAGGCTAGCCCAGGGAAACCGAAAGATCCGCCGACGGGGGTCTCGGAGCAAACCAGTTCCGGGGAAGCAGAGAAAGACCGGCGGAGTGAGGAAAACGCCGCGGTCGAAAAAGAAACTCGCTAAGAGCCGCTAACCGAACTGGACGAGTTAATATTGCCCCCGACGTCGGGAAACTTTGAGAAACTCGTGTCCGTAACGAAGGAAGTTCTGATCAAGGAGCAAAGGGCTGATCCTAGTCTAGATAAGGTGCGAGAAACCTCCAAGGAGGGCGTGGCCAGGAAAAACGTTTCAGTTCCTGTCCGTGGTGGTGTGCTGTACTGACACTACCGAGATCGGTCGGATCGCACGTTTGATCAGCTGGTAGTGCCGGAGAAATATCGAGCTGATGTGTTGCGCCTGTGCCACGGAGCGGGATGGTCCGGTCACTTGGGCAACAAAAAGACGAAAGATCGGCTCCTCACGGAATTCTACTGGCCGGGATGCTTCCGAGATGCCGAGTCTCAGGTGCGGGCGTGCGATGTCTGTCAGAGAGTGGGCAAACCCAATGAAAAATGCAAAGCGCCCCTGAGACTTGTGCCGATAATCTCGGAGCCATTCAGGCGGGTGGTCATTGATGTGGTGGGTCCTCTTCCGGCTACTAAGGCGGGGTACCGCTATGCTCTAACGGTCATGTGCGCGGCGACTAAGTTCCCCGAAGCGGTCCCAATGAAGGAACAGAGTTCATTGGAGGTGGCGAACGCACTTCTGTCAATTTTTGCGTGGGTAGGCTTCCCCCAAGAGGTCCAGAGCGACCAAGGGAGCGTTTTCACAAGCGCTTTGACTACTGGCTTCCTCGAGAGGTGCGGTGTAAAGGTTGTACACAGTTCAGTATATCACCCGCAGTCAAACAGTGTCGAGAGGTGTCACTCAGTTATGAAGCGGGTCCTGAGGGCGCTAACTTATGAAAGCGGGAACGAATGGGACGCCTGCCTGCCGGCAATGTTGTTCGCGCTGCGCTCCGTGACTCACGAGGCAACCGGCTTCAGCCCGGCCGAACTAGTGTATGGACGGTGTTTCCGGACTCCACTGCGGCTGCTCCGCGAAACTTGGGAGACCAAGGGATCCGATCCGAGCGTGGTGCAGTACATTCTTGATCTGCTAGAGCGATTCCGAAGCACGAGAGAGGTGGCGGAGATTAATATGCGCGAGGCCCAGAGCAGAGCGAAACGGTATTACGACCAAAACGCCCGTGTCCGGGAGTACCGTGCGGGCGATCAAGTCCTCTTGCTCCGTCCCTCACGCCAAAATAAGCTGCAGGTGCAGTGGGAGGGTCCATTCAAGGTCACTCAAAAGCTGTCGGATACTAACTATGAAATCGAAACCAGAGGCAAGAGGAAGGAAATCAGAATCTATCACTGCAATCTGATGAAGCGTTACGTGAGCGAAACGGAAGTGGTGAACTTGACACTAAACGCCCCAGAGGAAGTTCAGACTGATGTTCCGCGACTTTGGGAGGCTGGAGCGCCGGTCGGAGTAGATGAAGTCATGGCTCAGGCGGTTCGTTCGGAGGATCTTTCGGTCTCTCAGCGGGCTGAATTGAGAGATCTTCTGGAAAAGTACAAGAACTTGTTTTCAATGTCACCCGGACGAACCTCCCTGGCCACGCATGACATTGAGCTAACATCAAACGTACCGGTACAATCCCGTCCATGTCGCATGTCACCAAGGCAGCGGGCCATCTTAAAAGACGAGGTGGAGCGCATGCTGCACTTAGGGGTAATCGTTCCCTGTGTAAGTGAATACTCTTCTCCCATGATAATCATAGAGGCTGCGGGAAGGGACCCCGACCATGCATTGATTATCGCAAGCTCAATGCAATCACCAAGGACCAGGCTTACCCGATTCCCAACGTAGAGGAAAGAGTTGAGACGGTTTGTGGGGTTAGATATGTCTCGACTTTAGACCTAGTACGCGGATACTGGCAGGTCTCGATGACGGAAAGAGCTAGCCAATACGCAGCCTTCGTGGCCCCGACGGGCACATTCCGCCCGTTGGTTTTGAGCTTCGGTCTTAAGAACGCTCCGTTCTGTTTCTCGCGAATGATGGACAGAATTTTGCGTGGGGCGGAAAGCTACGCGCTACCGTATCTAGATGACATCGCCATTTTTTCGACAACTTGGGCAGATCACATGAACCACCTTTCTGACGTATTTGAAAGGTTGAGGAGCGCGGGTCTAACGCGAAACAAAGTAAGTGTCAGCTGGCGAGAGGCGAGGTTAGATACCTCGGCCATATCGTGGGCCAGGGGCTAAGAAGGCCCGACGAACTCAAGGTCGAGGCTGTTAGAGACTTCCCGCGACCTGAGAAAAAAACTGGCATAAGGGCTCTTTTGGGGCTGACGGGGTATTACCAACGCTATATCCCGCAGTATACTCAGAAAAGGCTAGCCCCCTAACCGATGCGCTGCGGAAGACCGAACCCGATAAGATTCGGTGGGACGACAAAAAGGAACCGGCCTTCCAGGGCTTGGAAAATTCCCTCTGCTGTTCCCCCATACTTCGGGCCCCGGATTATAGTCGCTCGTTCATAGTGCAGTGCGATGCCAGTAATCGCGGCTTGGGGGTGATTTTATGTCAGGAGGATGATGCGGGAGAGGAGCACCCCGTGCTGTACGCAAGCCGGAAACTCAGCAGCCGAGAGGAGGCTTACAGTGCATCGGAAAAGGAATGCGCAGGCTTAATTTGGGCAACTCAACACCTCTCCTGTTACCTTTACGGAGCTCCGTTCGTTTTCGTCACCGACCACTGCCCTTTGACATGGCTAACTCAAATGTCGACAAAAAATGCCCGACTTCTGCGGTGGAGGTTGGCTTTACAAGAATTAACCTTCACGGTTAAGTACAAGAGGGGGGCTGCTAACTCCAACGTAGACGGACTTAGCAGGTCGTTTTGAGATTATTTGTTCTGGATGTTGCCTTGCGAGTTGGGCCAAAGTTTAAGAAGTTTCATTGCGTTTTCTTTTACTTTTTGTAATCTTCACACATGTCAGCGATTTCGCTTTGTGCAATGTTGCCCTATGCCGGGCTTTTCTTGGTGGTGTCAATGGCAGAAAAAGTGATAGGTTTATTGCCGCAGAAAAAGGCCTGGCGGTTGGGGAGAGGGTGCTGCCGCTCGCTGGATTTGGTTGTAGCGGTTCGTGTCTCTGTTGATGTGTTGGCTGCTCACGACGATTCCGAAGCTGATCTCTCCAGGAAAGCAGCTGATACTCCTCCCCTTCCGAGATCTGCCTTTGCGTGGAGGAGCTGTAACGAACGACCTTCGCGGCCGGACCTGCACGCGGATCGCCACCCCTTTTCCAACATTCCCGAGGACGCGCCTTTCGCTGACAATCTCAAGCCGGGATTATTTTCCCCGCTGCCCTGGTACCGTAGACAAAAGAGCAAGACAAGCCGTCGTCGATACCGGCTCAAGTTGGGTGCTGAAACGGAAATGCGTTCTCTTTGAGGCGTCCAAGCAGGAACCGACGGCCACGGTGATCCCTGCTAAGCCGAAAGAAGGAGATAAGCCGTGAACGGGAACTGCCCGGATATCGGCGTCCAAGGTCTTCTCCGTCCCGACTAGGGAGGGGGACGGTATCCTCCGGGCGTTCGTGCTCTCTTAGAGTCAACAAAACGATTAACCGGTGTGTCCGTTTGGGCGTGCTCATAGGCGGTGCCCGGACGTTTGGGAATGAGCTTCTCGGTGTCACCTCGACCTAGATTCCAGGAGCAAGGCCAAATCTCGAGCGTCACTGAAGAAACCGCTGCCACTACAAGCCTTGAGGAACCGGAAGAGCACTTATCCTCTGTGTGGATAAGTGTGTGGATAAGACACCCTGGCTCGCTACCAACTCTGCCCGATGTCCTGGGCGACGCATGGCTCCAGCGGAGATCGACTACATGGACAAGCCCAGAGTCTTTACAGTCCGTTGTCCTGTCGCTCTTTTTAATCATCATAATCATTTTCAAAAAAGAATAGTAAAGCTCTTCGGTTACGGAATTTACCCAGAGCTGCACCATTCTCAGATATGACAATGGTGACTCAATAGGGAGTTTTAGAATAACGTACGCAATTTTTGGCGCACGCTAGCCTAAATTTAGCGCTTGTATTAGCGCACGCGGCGCGAGAGAGAGTTTTAGAATAGCGTTTCTGCGTCGCGACGCAAAAGCCCAAGCATCTCGCGCTTGCGACGCCACCAAGATACAGTCACAATTTTTATTTCACACACGAAATGCTGTAACTCAAGAAAAAAAAGTTTTTGGTCCGGAGTATAATTTTAGATTTGTTTAAATGTGAGAATGCGAAGCGAGCGGTTGACCGGTCGTGTCCGCTTGCGTCGCCCCGGCAAGAGAGGTCTCGTGTACTGACCTTCGCACATCGTACCTTCGCCGAGAAATGTTCGCGCGTCACAAGCATCAAGCTGTCGGTGATCGTTGGCAAACCGAGTACAATGTCGTCCCGTATTGAAAATCGCAGTCGCGAGGATGCCGCCGACGTCGCACTCACGACGTCGCCAAAGCAGCCGCTGACATAATCCTGGAAGCCGCCATTTTTTTTTTTTCAACTCTGCTCGTCTTGGCTTTAGCCAACTTC